AAAGGTTAATGTGAGAGGTTAGAAAATCCTTCCTGATAGCTATTTTCTTTTCAGTCTTACAGAAACTGAAACCTCAATGCAGAATAACTTGTTCCTACTGGACCATCACCCTAACCCATAGGTAAAATTGGACTCTGTCAACATTCCTGTAGGCATTATAGCTCTACCTTCTAGCAAATGGCCAAGTGAGCTGACAAATACTAAGCTAAATCCATTCAAAAGACACCTGTCATGACGCCCATGCTGCAATAATACCTGCACATTATAAACTTAACCCCAAATATTTAGCTATCATTTCCCTCCTCCTGGGTATAATGAAGCCCCTTGCTGCTACACAGCATTAAGTGTCCAGTTGTATTACAAAGCATTTGCATTGGAGAGGACAGGGATTTAGCAATGACCAGTAAGCCATTCATTCAGCAGTTTTTAGGATTGGGGTTTACAGCATTCAAGTGGAAAGAAATTATGGGATGAAGCAGTAGTCCCTGCTCAGTCCTGCCTGCTGTGGCTTCAGACCCTGGCTGCTGCTGCTTTTTCATTGAGGCAGGCAGTAAAAAAAAAAAAGAAGTAATCTGTCACCCTTCTTCAAGGGCTACATCAAGTGCATTAAATGCAAATGAAAATTTACATTAATTAAATTGTAAGCACTTCAAAGACATGCCTATAGATTAATGCCACACTGACATAATGATTTGACTCATCTCTATAACTTGCTAAGAACCTGGAAGCAATGGTCACATCTTTCTTGATGAAATCATTATTGCTAATTGACTGGTAAGTTACTTCATTGGTTATAACTGTTCAGGCACTTGTAACAGACACGTTGACTGGTTTGAATGAAAGCATACGTCTTTGTAAGCTCCAGCAGACAAACAAGTGAAAAAGGTGGTCTGCACATGTCAGGGCAGTGTCCCCAGCAATGAAACTGCAGAACATGCTATTTATACTGAGATCAAAAGGCCTGCACTCTGATAAATCAAACCCCAGCAGAAATGACTCACTGAACCCTGCACCCCCACATCAGAAGGATGTCAACAAGATTACAGCACGTCACATACACCGCTCCCCTTCTCCTGACCCAAGCAGAGTACAGACCACATTTTGAACCTACATTTAAACAAGACAAACCAGACAAGACACAGCAACATGGCCTAACATCTATGGAGGCTAAGAAATATTCTGAGGCACAGAAAAACCCCATAACAATTGCTGAAAGACCTTTACAAAAGCTAGCTCATCACCATTCACGAACCCTAGATATGCAAAAAGGACTGGGGGGCCAGTGTACCTTTGGTTAAAACCCACAAAATTAGGGTGTGCCTAGGCTCCTAGTGGAAACAGCTTTGAGAAGGTATCAAAATACTCTAATGAGTATTAAGGTAGAAAGTACCAAGAACTTTCCACAAGGTTTTGCTTGCAAGTAGAGCTGGATCCAGATTACAGCCCTATGGGGCCACACCAAAGCCAGAGAAAATGATACTTCCCTTTTCTTCCACAGTCTTGCAACAGGAATTTTCTTTAAATAGTCCAGTTTACCTATCAGCTTGTTGGAACAAAACAGCAATACTTCCAGAAGGGTACGATTTTTCTTCTAGTCAAATACTGTAAATTTTTTCTTTAAAAAAATAAATTAAAAGGCAAAGACAAAATATAACTGCTGAGAAAACTTGACCTAAATTAATTCTTCCACTGTATATCTTGTCTAATACTAAGAATCAACTGGTAGTAATAGCATTAATTGGTCTGACTACTAAGGTCCCATCACCACTGATGTTATTATTACTTTGAATAAAGGTACTCACCACTAGAATGAAGGGTACAGAAATAGAAAAATCAACCCACCACTAGAAAGATGCTATGTTACAGCTATAACCTATAGTTCTTCAGCAGTGCATTTAGGTATGTATTTATGCTGATTTATTTTATCTATTTCACACCCCTCATGACTTAGTTGGAATACTGTACAGATTAACAAGAAAAACCAACTAACTAGAATTGAACCAAAAAAAGTCTGAGCGGAGAAAAAATTCTTGAAAGGAAGAAAGAAAAAAAAGAAAGGAAAGCAACACTAGAAAGGTCAGAGTGAAGTTACTTGTATCTAGGCAAATAAAGTGTTCTGAAATAATTTTCAGAAACTCTGCAGAAAGTACTTTGTACAAGGTAAGATGCATCAAACTAAAGGTTACAGCAAAGATGAAAAGGGCAGCTTTCCCAGAAATTGGAAAAAGAAAAGTTATGCTTTGATACTCTTTCCATTGTCTCAGTCTTTCCAGCACAAAGGTATATAACAAGCCAAATACAATCTTCTTTGAAATTACCTTCTGAGGGGAACATAAAAGCCTTGCCTGCCTGTAATACCAACCATGGGACTCAAGCCAGGAACAGTGTAGAGGACTTAGACACGAGTCCTCTAGTGAATTGGGATGTTGTGTGTGAAGGCATCACCCTTACTTGACTCACTCATGAATAGCAGGACACAACCTCTGCATGGGAGAAAGGAACTCCTGCCTAAGCCTCAGCTACTCCATCCCTCCATCCCATCTGCTCAGTGTTTCAGACAACATGCTCCTTTACTGTAACTTCTTAAATTTTTGCAAGTAGATGCACTGAAGAGTGATCTACCAGGGATACAACAGAGACATTTTCTCATGATTCCAGATTTGTGACAGGAAATGCAGGATTATGGATTCTTGCTATTTAGTCTCCACAAATCAGTATTAGGTTTACAAATGCTGTTTTGTCCTAGTTTCAGCCAGGACAGCATTAATTTTTTAGATTAGCTGGGAGGGGGCATGGCTAGACCCCAATGTTGTTCAATACCATCTCAGGTCATTTCCAGAGGCAGGGAAAACAACTCCTCTCGGGAGAAGGGCATCCTTTCTGGTCAGGGAGAAGAAACTGGCTGCAAAGAACAGATCTTCTATGTAAACAGTTTTTTTTCCTTATACCTTTTATTATTAATATTGCTGCAGTTACTGTTCATTTTCTTATCTCACTGTTGTTTCCAGTAAATTGTTCTTATCTCAACCAATGATCTTTTGTGCTTCCAACAGGAGGCAGGCAGAGGGTGAGTGAGCAGCAGGTGTGGTTTTAGGGAACTACTAAATTGGACACTACCACCCTAAGCCATTACATTGTTGCACTGGGAAAATCCTAGAAATATTACCAGAATATCTGAATATGCACTTGGAACCTTACTTGCTCAAAAAAACCCCCCAAACACCAATAACCAAATTCCAGGAAATAAATTTAGGATTCATGATCAGCATAGAAAAATTAAAGGCTTTAAGAATTTGTATTTATTTTTATCCTCAGAACGTAAATCTCAGTTTCTAATCCTAAACTTGAATCCCAAATGTATTATCTTGCAAAATCCATTTAATAGTATATGTGAGCTCCACCAAACTTCTGCAAAGTTAAACTTTTCACTGTATGTTTATTTTTAGTGATGATGAGTATTTTATTGCCAAGAGATACTAATTCTGTGCATTGTTATTACAAGGAAGCTGGAGAGGGACTTTTTACAAGGGCATGTAGTGACAGGACAAGGGGAGATGGATTCAAAGTGAGAGTAGGTTTAAATTAGATATTAGAAAGAAATTCTTTACTGTGGAGGTGAATTGCCCAGAGAAGTTGAGTATGTCCAATCCCTAGAAGTGTTCAAGGCCAGGTTAGAGTCTTTGAGCAACCCAGTGGAAGGTGCCCCTGCCCACAGCAGGGGGGTTGGAACTAGATGATCTTTACTGCTCCTTCCAACCCAAGGCATTCCATGATTCTATGAAAAAGCCTCTAAAGAATCCTGGTGATATGTCACATCAGACTACTTTTGATAAAACCAGCACAAGCAGATGGTTAGGAATAAAAAAAAAAAGCAATACAAAAAATTGTTTCAAAGCAAAAATACAAAATTGTCTTTTGAATAAATAATGCCAGAGTATTTGTATTTGCATATTTTCTTATTTCTGAATACGTTGTTAAAATTTATCAGAAGAATTTGTCCCATCAATCCATTCGCCCATCTCAGATGGTTTCATGATTCACTCAAAGATACGTGATGCTTTGGAGAGAATTTTGGCTTTAAAGATGGGATTAGACAAGTATTTCACAATGACTGCAATGACAGCTGTATTCATCTCCCTCACATACCAGATTCAAAGTCAGAAGCAGATTCTCAGTTTGCAAGCCAGAACATGTTCTGCTGGATATTTACAGCCAACCACTGAAATCCCCAAAACCTATCAATGATGTCAAACAGGACAGAAATAGAAAATCTTGCGTGTTTTTCCTAAATAGACCTGCATTCATGAAAGAAAAAGAAATAAAACCTTGAAGAAAAAAATTCTCTTTTATCACTGCCACTATCAAAGCACAAAACCACTCAACTTTTTTTGAAAGAACCACTTCAATAAAAGAATCTTGTTTGTATTCCTCTCTTGATGTTTTATCTCTCCTCTTACCTTGTCAGCAACAATGCCTGCTTTTTCTTTTCATTCCAAAGCTTTTTTTTTTTTTTTTTTTAACATCTATAAGGAGGTTCACCATGCCATTTCATATGCCACTAAGGAGATGAATTATGTTTGTAGATGTCAGTGCCTAACACAATTTAACCACCGCAAACATGCTTTAATGCACGTCACCTTATAATAATCCACTTAGCAGATGGTTTCCAGAACAAAACCAGGAACAGAATCAAAAAGAGGAAATACTTTCAGCCTTATTCTTTATTACTAAGATTTTATTGACTGATAAACATAAGGATAGGCATCAGATTAAGTAGCAATCTGTTTTCAGAAGGTACCCTAAAAAGTGAGCTCTGTGACTTCAGACAGAGACAGGCAAAGATTCATTACAGGATACCTCAAGTTCAAGCAATCCTTCTGTGTTTTATGTTATCAAGAAATGCTGTTTGTGCCCTACAGAATAAACATTCTGACTGCCAACTCAGCAACAAAGGAAGAAGTAGGCTTCTAATTAGGAATTAATAAAATAAGAATACTTACGCTGACCCCATCGGCCTGTTCTTGGATTCAAATAATTTGGATAAAGTCCATTAGGACGATCCATTTTTTGAAGTAACTTCCGAATGTGCATGACCTAAATTAAATCAAGAATTAGGTTCACCACTAACAAAGTTCATCTGCCCTCTGCACATATTTAAATCTAATATTTTTCATTTTTCTTTCATTTTTAGTAGCAAATTTTATTAATCTGAACCACAAGCTTTCCTGAGGGCTTTCTTCAGCTTTGTTTTTGAAGTATGCTTACATAAACATGCTTAAAAATCATGATTTTTAAAAGTATTCTGAAACAAATAAGAAAACCTATGTTATCATATATTTCTACTTGAAAAATAAATCTATTTGGCAACAGAAATACAAGCATGAAAGTATTTACCTGCTACCAAGAATGGAAGTAGAATTCAATACAGAAAGTACTTCCCCTTTAATGAGATTTATGATAAGAAGTATGATATAAATATTGATTATTTTGAAACTCACCTTGTTGTAATATACAGGGTCCCCTGTCAAATAACTGAGGTGGACAAATTCCATGTGCAGAGTACCAAACTCAGCAAGGATGCTGCTGCCAGCAGAAGCCCAGCCCCAGTTTCGACCAACACCACTGAATTCCAACAAATATGTATAAAGAAAGGAAGAAAACAACAGAAAATTCAGAACTACTGTGCACATTACAACTTCCACAGCCAATTAAGAAAATAACAACAATATTTTAACCCACACTTAAGATTACAGGAGTTGTGATTTGATTGATCAGTTGGTTTGCTGGTTGAATCTTTTTGGAATAAAGATACCATAACCTCATCAACAAAATATAATACCATGAAGTCACTGAAATATGATGACTTAACAATGGGCTCAATTGCAGTTGTTCTTTATTCACTGCATGTTCTTAAGAACAAGAATCAAGGTAAGACAAGTTTTGAAGGTGGCAGCTTTTGCTGCCTTGATCTGCTGTGTTCCCTTTACTTGTGTGGGATGTGCTTCCCTACCTTGTGTCCACATAGGAATATAGGATGTTTACTGTTGGCACAATATACAAGTTCCTCAGCTCACCTAAAGAATCAGCAGAAAGTGTGACATATCTCCTACCTTTTGCACTCAGAGTGAGACCATTTTACTAATCCTAACTCCTAAATTACCTCTGGTTTAATCTAATCTGGGAGTTTTCATCACCTTTCAGGATTGAGTTTTTTAATTTCTGTAGTTAACTATGTATTTCTGAAGATTACTGCTACTTCCTCTCATAAAAAGATTTCATATATGAGTAAGTGTACACACAATCTAGATATACATCCCAATTCAGCTACTGTTTTGGACATAGTGAAAATGTAAAGAATGCCTTGCATCAAAAATGCTCTCAAAATCTGAGAGAAACAAATCCTAGCACTGAGCAAGAAATACAACATACATTAGGCAAGGCAGTTGTTTTCCATGAGGCAATGCAGACCATCTAAGTTCAGTCTGATCTGAACAGTCATCTAAAGGAGCCTCTTCATCTGCATAGATCACAGTTCACTTTAGCACACCAGACCCCAAGCTAAAATGTCAAATGAAATAGTAACTTCAGAGTCTCATCATCTTCTCAAATGCTAGGAATCTTCTAAAGGTAACATACAGCTCACACAGTACAGAAAACTCAGTAAGTTCAACCATGTCCTGCAAACAATTTTGGTTTTTAACAGATTTTGTAATTACTAAAGAAACAATTATTAAGCTCTAGAGCAACACACAGAAGAATATGTTAAGTGTGGTCCAATTGAATGCTTATTGAAGAATCATAAAAATAAAAACAGGATCAAAATGTATTGCAGTTAGTGAGTTAGAATGTGCTGAACTCTATCAAAATGATTCTAACATGCCAGGAATGTCAATTTGTCTGCATTTTCTACAGTTCCACTACTAAGAAAAACTGATATATGCCATTATTAAGTTGGAGGGAGGGGAAGGAACACATTTCACAAAAGAAAATTCATTACCTTTTCAGATTCACCATTGCCCATGGTATACCCGTAGGTGTGTTGAAGGCTGGAAGAAGTTTTCCTGCCAGTTGTACTGCTTTGATCTTGAAAACCTAAGATAGTAGGATCAATTGCAAATAGTTACTAAGTCTGATTTATCTCCAAGAACTGTAAAGACTGAAATTTCCTTGCCCCACCTACCTCTTTGTATTAAAAAAAGCTTTACATTGTAAAAAACATATTAACTTATAATTTTTTTGCTGCTTGTTCACTTTATAACTTTTGGTTAGATTTGTACATGAAAAGCAAACTTGTCATTTTGATTTCTTTCCTTCCAGGCTCCCCAGCAACAGTTCTTAGATTCCTATTACAGAAGAATATCAGGTCTCCTCCCACCACCCTCCACCAGTATTAGGAAAATCAAGTACTTTTTAAAACAGTCTTTAAATCATACATTGTATTTTTTAGTTAAAAACCAAGACACAACTCTCCTACCCAAGTATTTTAGCTTTTACAAACTTCCAACCTCTTTTTAATGAGATTAGTGCAGACAGAGTTCCTATTATTTTACGAACATTGTCTATGCAAAACCAGATATGCAGTTTCCTCTAGCTTTTCCTTCATCAATAATGCATATAAAAAATAATTACAGGGCTAATCTTGCCTCTCTAGTCTGATCCCTCACAGAAATTACTGACAGAACAAAATCTCAGTCACTTCTAGTGTTATTTCTACTTTAGAACATAAGTCTGTAATAGCCTTACTCAGAGCCCAACATTTATTAGACAGACAAGCAAATGGGAGGAAGTTCCTTGTAAGCCTTCCTGCAAGCATGTTTTCCAAAGGCGTATTTGGTATAACCCCATGGTATGAATCTGCTTTTACCAGTTAGTTGCTAGCATACATTTTAATTAATGCACTCTCAGTATTCACTACATTTCTGGACAGGTATCTCCTTAAACTGAAGATAACATTATTTACCCATTTGATGCACCATAAAAACCAGTAACAAAAAGAGCTACCACATCCCAGATGTAGTATAGAAACATCATCTCTTTGGTGACCAGCAATGGGACACGAAGAAATCTAATGAAGATGCACAAGGACAATTTCAGATAGAGAAAATGTTCTTCTCTAAGAGACTGGTCAGAGCACCAAGCCTGTCAGAACTCAAGAAAATGTGTGGATGATGCTCTTAGTCACATGGTTCAGTTTTAGCTTGTCCTGAGAGAAGCAGGGGGATGGATTCCCCAGTCCTTAAAGGTCTTTCTAACTTGAGATATTCTACAATTCTATTGTCAACTACCTGACCAGTAATCTGTAATCAAAATGAATAAAATCTTTAAGAAGGACTGCAGCAGCTGATTTGTAAAGTCTGTGGAAAGAAAAGGAAGAAATTCTCACTAGAGAAGCAAGCTGAAAAATAAACAATCAGGAATATACTTATTTTTTATATGAAGGTGGGAAAAAAATCAATATCTTAATGTTTGAGGAAATGACTAGTGAGACATGAAATAAACCAGAAGAAAATATTAAAGATGACATCTAATAGTATTTGATGCAGTGGAGTATGGAGAGATAGAGGTGAATCTGAAAGCAATGAGCCAGGATAAAGTACTTTTAGAGAGGTTCTCCATATGAACTGTAAGATGGGATATGTCTAAACCAAAAAAGGACATACCTAAGCATATGATTTGGTAGAACTGTGAAGCAACAGAGGCAATACAGCTTGAATTATTTTTAGCAAAGAAACTGACAAGAAACAGTCTTTGATAAAACATGCAGGAATTTAGCAGTAAAATTCATATAGCACTTTGACCTTGAATAAAGGACCCATTCTGAATAGGAAGGCATAATATAAGGAAGAGGTATAATACAGGTGAAATCTATGGTAACTGGGGAAAAAAGAAAGCCTTAAGAGAACTAAAACCTCGATCTTGGCCCAGATGAATAAGAACTATCTCATTTGAATGTATAAATAAGCATCAAAAATTCATGTTGAACTTTCAGAATTTTAAGTAGCAGATGGGTCAAGACCAGACAGAACTATCTACTGGGAGTCATCTGGGGGGACTCTACAGTGCAGGCAAGCTTCAATACCTAATCAAGAACAGAATGATGACTTTCAGTGAAATGGTAAATAGTTTGGAAAGACATTTGTAACATGAATTTGTTTGTCTTCAGCTTTCATATCTTACACCCTCTGAAAGTACTATGCACTATCATATTGTTCATTAATAAAAGATACTGAAACATTAGGGTAAGAATATTCAATGGAAGAACATCCTTAGAAACTTCCTTGCTCAAGCATATTCTTAATGGTTAACTATTTACATTGCCATCCAGCTTTTAATCCGTTTGAAATGTATGGTACCTGAGGAAGTTTTTAGCTATAGTGTATGAAGTAAAGGTTGAGCTGATCTAAATGTGCATGAATCTGAGCAAGACAGTTAAGCAAGGCAATCATGGAGCCATTGCAGCATGAGAGCACCAGCAGGAACTGCTCATTCAGACAACCATGCTGTTAGCAGTACCTGCCCAAACTGGCTGCAATTAAAGGCACTTTCCTGGCACCTCCATCGGGCTGAGGACCCTTGAGCACCACTGATCTAGCATAAGAAGGGTACAACACTCCCTCTCTATATGCCTCTCATCCAAAACTGAATATACAGAAACAAAAAATTGGTTAAAGGCATTTCTATTACTGTCATCTCAGTCCAATCTCACCGCTACTTCTGCATAAAAAAACAACTGAGTGTTTGGCACAGTGGTTACCTATGCAGGCTGGAGCAAGAACTGGGAGACAACTGCCCAGGATTTTATCAGAGCCAAGTGACCACAAGAGCATTTTTGGGGAGAGGGAGGGAAAAGAAATGTAGCAAGCAGTGGTGAGTGAGGTGTCATTTACGGGAAACTGCAGATGTGTCCAGAGAGTTCTGCTGCACTCATTAAAGTGCCTTCTTTAGCAAGTTTCAAACTTACCATAAGAACAACAGTAAAAGCCTCGGGCTCTAGCTTATAAATAATGTGATGGTATCAGACAACACAGTTACTTATCATGTAATATTTTTACTTTAATTTTTTTTTTAAACTGAGTTGAGCTCATAGATTCTATTTCAGCCCTGGCAGTTCCCTGTTGACAGGCAATGCATTTCAAAAAATACATAGGCAAGAAGAACAGAAGAGAACAAAAATTAATGGCTGCCTTAAAAATAGAGCTCATTAGGAAACAGCAGAGGAATTGGGGTTATTTAGTCTAGATATAAGATGTTCAAGAGAGGACAAGATAATGACTTTGCAGTATATAAAAGGCTAACACAAGTAAAAGAAAATAATATTTTTCCATGGATGTGGAGAACAGAAAATAACACCAAAATGGACCAAGGAAAAGTAAGTCAGTTATTAGGAAACACTTGGATAAGAATAACTACTAATGCAGCATGACTGTGATTACTGCAAAGTCATCACTAAAGCTTTTACAAATGCTCTGTACGACACATACAAAGAATTAGATTATTTAACTTTGCTAAGGAACAGAAAAACAACTGAGAATTACTCAGTTGCCTTGCCACTCTTCCAGCCATGTTGCTGCATTTTGTTTCCACTGCAAGGTTTTGGTAGCGGGGGGGCACAAGGGCGGCTTCTGTGAGAAGCTGCCAGAAGCTTCCCCATGCCTGGCTGAGCCCCAGCCAGTTGGCTCTAAAACAGACTGACCATGGGTCAAGCTGAGCCCATCAGTGATAGTGGTAGAGCCACTGTGATAACATAGTTAAGAATGGGGTTAAAAAACCAACCACAGAACAGCAACTGCAGCCAGAGGAGTGAGAATATGTCATGGAATCAACCCTGCAGACATCAAGGTCAGTGCAGAAGGGAAAGGAGGTGCTCCAGGCATCAGAGAAGAGATCCACCTGCAGCCCATGGAGGTCCATGGGGGAGCAGAGATCCACCTTCAGCCCACGGAGGAGCCCCAGATCAGAGCAGGTGGATCCCCAAAGGAGGCTGTGACCCTGTAGGAAGCCTACAATGGAGCAGGGTCCTCGCAAACCTGTGGCCCTGTGGAGAGAGGAGCCCATGCTGGAGCAGGTTTGCTGGTGGGATTGACAACCTTGTGGGGGACACTCACTGGAGCAGTTTGTGAAAAACTGTGGCTTCTGGGAAGAACTCATGTTGGAGAAGCTCATGGAGGGCTGTCTCCTGTGGGAGGGACCCCATGCTGGAGCAGGGGAGAGTGTGAGGATTCCTCCCCTTGAAGAGGAAGGAGGGGCAGAGATAACACCTAATGCAACCCCATTCCCTGACCCCCATGCTGCTGTGGGGAAGGAGGTAGAGAAAATTGTTAGTGAAATTGGGCCTGTGAAGAAGAGAGGGTAAGGTTTTAAATTTTATTTCCCACTATCAATTAATTACCCCTAGTCGCATCTGTTTTGCCCATGACAGTACTTGGCAAGTGATCTCCCCCTGTCCTTACCTTGACCCATGAGTCTTTCATTGCATTTATTTTTTGTCTCTCCCCTGTACGGTTGAGGAGGGGAGTGGCAGAGCAGTTTTGGTGGGCACCTTGCATCCAGCCAGGGTCAACCCACCAAAGTTCCCAAGTATGAGATGACTTGTGCACATTCTGTACATGTAAGATTAAAATGTTCTGCCTCTCAGGTATGGTATCTACTCTGTAGACACATATAGCACCTTTCATGGATAATGGAGACCATCTATGCCCAAGTTTCTATGTTAGCACAAAGCTACAGGTATTGAACTGATCAGAATCTTCTTAGAAACACCATAACAACAACACCAAGACATCCTGCTTTGAAGATCCAGAAAGACTGTTATAAGTAAATGGGTATTAATCCCAAGGTAGCTGTTCTGTCCAGTCCCAAAATACGTACGTCCTTCAGAAAAGTTTTAGAAGCCACTGTAGACTGGGAGAAGTGTCTCCATTCTACATGTCAAAATGTAACATATTAAAGCCTCAATTTACATGGCCTTTACTAGCCTAATACTTCTTTCTGCAAACACTGTAAACCAATGGAAGAATTTTTTCCACCTTTAAAAAACAAATCAAGCTGTTTACAGCTAGATTGGCAGAAAAAGCAAAATCTAAACCCCAAAT